CTCTCTCTCTATCTATCTATCTCTCTCTCTCTTAGTTAATGTGATCTCTAAATTCTGTAGACCCCGGCCTTATGTCCCCAACCTCTCCAGTGTTGTCTCCGAAAGACATAACTGCTATCCATTCGTAATCACAATCAAAGCCATTCAGATTAAACTCAATTCTTGACTTTAATATTGTTTCTGTTGTGTGTTTTCTGTCTCTGCTTTTTATACTTTTCAACAAAACAAAATACAATTCAAATGACATTTTATTTGCGCTCTAATTATATGAAAAAATGCACATTTTTTGTTTAGTTATGTGAAGATATCAAGTGTTTACCCAAAACAGAGACTTACTTAACAAATTGGTTGAAGTCTTAAACGCCCACCGAATGCATGTTCATTACAATACAATGTAGTTTATTATGATATATAATTCACAAAACACAATATACAGTACAGTCGACTCGTATTGTCTATTCACTACATGTCTGACATTACACTGCATTTGAATTATTTAATCAATAAATTTATGTTTCCTCGTCTATGAAGTATTTAATTTTCATAACAAACAAATAAATTAAATTTTCATTTTCAAAAACTCGCAGCAATGTTATAATCGGATTTAGTTTTGCAATTAGTTATTAAATTTTAATTATTTTATTTCTTGTTGTTTTTTCTTTTGGCTCTGACTTAACATTTGCGTTGAATTATGATTTTTACTGCCTTTTTATTTGCGTTATTACAACCATTATTAATGATTTTTCTATTGTATTATTAAAATACCATTAATAATAATAATGTTTTTATTAATATACGGGTTATTCATTCAATGAGTGAAATGGTCTTATATTATAAGGATTAAAGTAATGCAAAGTTATTTTTGGATCCAAATATAGCCAATAATAGTCGTTAACTCCTATCTATATATCCCAAAGACTTATAAGTATAACATTCGTATTCATAGGAATAGTGAGATTTCTGTAAACAGTATTATAGATAATATTTGATTCTTTCTAATGTTTTGTGTATTTTCTTCATTTGTCATAAAATGTTGTATTAATTCAATAAAAATAGCAAAATAACTGAAAGGTATTTATGAGATGCTGTCCGTGTATCTAATGTTTTGAGATTTCATCTCTATTCTCGTGTAATAATAACTACTATATAATTGTAATAATATAAGAATTATATGCTATACTGTATAATAATATATTGTTTGATTTGTCGTTGTATTTAGGATAACTTGCTGTCACCTAACTTTCCAATGCAAATGGCTATACATCGGCACAGAGAGGGGTAACGTTCACATCGTAAGCATCGATACATTTACGCTCTCAGGATATGTAATCAATTGGAATAAAGCCATCGATTTGTATGTCTTTCCCAATCTTTATCTTACACTCAATTCTTCAATAAATACAAGTAATTAAAATATTTGTGTGAATGTATGGTATACTCAATAACAGGTCCCGGAAGGCACATCCCGGAGCTGTTGTACATCTGAGCGACTGTCCAATCGATTCCAATAAACTACTGCTGGGCTTCGAGTCGGGCTGTATAGTGCTCTGGGATTTACGTAATAAATCAGCCGACTATAGGATCTATTACTCTGAAGGTCTCAAATCGATATCATGGCATCACGAGGGAAGACAATTCATTGCCAGTCATACCGACGGCAGTATTACCACATGGGGTGTAAAGGGAGGCAACAAACCCGTCACCACTCTCTACCCCCACTCCAAGTCAGGCAATGATCTCAAACCGGAATTATGTAAACCTATCTATAAGGCCGAGTGGCGGACCGTTCGCAACGGCGAGCCGTACATTATCTTCTCCGGTGGTCTACCGGTTGGCAACAGTACTTCTGTCGGCGCCGGCAATCAGGCGTCGAGTAGTCAATCGCCTCAACCGATACCGCAATCGCTTTCATCGAAATCGTTAGACAAAACCAATGGAAGTCAGAGTCTGACTGTTATGCACGGAAAGTCCATAACTGTTCTCGAAATGGAGGACAATATCATTGATTTCATAACTTTGTGCGAAACCGCTTACGAAACCGATTTTAGCGATCCGTACGCTATAGTGGTTCTTCTCCACAACGACTTAGTCGTCGTCGACCTCTTGAGTCCCGGGTATTCCTCTCTTTTCCAATCCATTTATTTTGTTCACAAATACAATAATATATGACATCTTATGGCATCTCAAATATAGATTTTTTATCTCATTTTTCCGCATATTCTATAGTATAGAGTCTACACAAAGTCATACAATATATCAATATTTGAGACAATAATTAATGTTTTTTGAATCATTCTTTTCGCAAATGAGTCGAAAAGTCTTATTTCAGTTATTTATCACAATTATTGATATAATTTCTCACTCTTTTCTATATTTCTCTTTCATTTCCCAAAGGTATCCATGTTTTCAAAACCCATATTCAATGGATTTGCACGAATCTCCGGTCACTTACTGTTACTATTTGGCCGACTGTCCAACGGATTTGGTTTACGCTTTTCTCACTGTCGGACACAAAAGCAACAAAAGGTCCGGATTTTCCGAAAGAGAGTGGCCTATCAATGGTGGCGAATGGGGCAGCTCTACCTGCAGTTACCCCGAACTCATTATTACCGGGTATTTATTTTGCACTCCTTTTATAACTTTTATTTTAATTAAAACTTTTAATTTAAATTCTCTAATAAAGTTGATTCCAATGTCATTATAATTAGTATTATTTCATGCATTTTAGTTTCCATTTCACTAAACAGTTAGTTATTTGCTGTCCACTAATATTTCCGTCGGAGATATTTATTAAAACATCCAAAAATAGCCCATAGTTTTAGCCAACTTTTCCTTTTGCTTGAGATAACTAATCAATTGATTGAGTAGTTGTCGTAACACAAAGTCATTTACTTGTCTCACATATATTTGCCAAACTCTTTGCTACTCTTTGGTTGTAATTTTCAATTTGCTGTCACTCTTGTCACCTGAGTTGTCGCTACTGTACACACATTACCCGATAGTCTGTACCTCATTATCATATATACTCTTATTTTAATACTTTATATAAACTGAATGTTTATTATAAACAAATGTTATGTTTTGATACGTAAAGAATTGATCACATATTATGATAATATTTTATTCGACAACACTTTTTAAATTACTATTTATTTTTACTGAAAATGGCTAACAATGAAATAGTTTATCATTAATTATTAACAATCATATTGTATGGCATATCATAATTATATCCTTTCAGTTAAATGATGCGAATTATATACATATTTAGGCATTAAATCAGCAAAAATATATGTTATTTAGATTGAGTTGCGCTCATGTTTTGATGACTTTCAATGTATAAGTCATATAAAATGAATAAATAATAATATTTGCACATTTGGTTATCATATAAATTAAAGCAATATTTATAAATTACAGACACGCGGACGGATCGATCAAGTTCTGGGATGCCTCCTCAGGTAACACAACCCATTCATTATTGTCTCTCTCTTTATTATACGGTATAGTCTGTGAGATATGTATAGTATTCTGCAATTTATAGCCAATACTTTAGTACTAAACATAAAGAGCCACAGAATATACAGTAGTTATAATAATATGTAATTTAAATAAATGGTATTAAAAGCGTATATAAAAGAAAATTATGCTCTCAAACGATATTATGATCACAAATAATATAACATTCACTCTATTCACCAAATGTTAGGCAAATGTTCTCTTATTTTTGTGTTGACAAAATCCAATTGCTTTTGCCTTCAAATTTATTTCATACTTTCGTTTGGAAAGTAAAAAAGTTAGACTGAATTTTGTTTGTTTTCAATGTTTTATATATCTTTTGTTATATTGAAGTGAATTGTAAGCAAAATAACAACAAAAATTGAATTCCGTTGCCGTAAAACCCAATTATTGTTGAATTTGAATTTTCACTTAATTTGAAAATATTATTATAAGTAAAAATACAAACGCAAAAGGATTTTATTTTATTTTACAGATTTAAGCCATTTTTATATAAAATAAGACTTACTTTTTATGTCACAACTAATGCTGTTTTTTAGAGAGAAAATCCCAATTTTATTGAAATTATGTGAATGTGTTTAACATTAAAACAAAAATATTGACATTTAATAAATATTTATTTGTATTATGTATTTTGGTTTGTATTAAATACTTGACATTTTAAAGTATTAATTACATAAACAATTGAATAAAACAGTAGTACTTTTGCCTATTATATCATTGGGTTTAATGTCTTTTATGGGGATTTTTATTTGAGTTGGAAATAGGATTTTAAACAATATATCTGTCAACTAATGGATTCACGTTTTATATTAGAAACGGCCATATTTTGCTTTAATTTCACATCACTTTTGTATTATACTGTATTTAAACATTTCTCCACAATTAGGGATTGTTTTCATTTAATTTAATTTCAGAACTACTGATGAGTTGACGAAAACAAAACCAATTTTAGCGAAATTACAATAGTTTTGTATATTTAATAACTTATAGCTTTGTTTTACTTATTGTATGCAAAACACAAAAAAAACTTAAAGAATATTCTTTTCTTATAGTTTACGGAGGAATACATATAAAATGAATAATAGATTTTGCGATTTTGTCTGCTATTTATATATATCTTACTTGTATTGTATTTTATACTAAAATATGATTTAAAGAGAAGATTACTCTCTCTTTCTTTGTCTCGTTTAGTGTTTTGTTTTGTGCTCACAATTACTGCAAAATAAATTTCAATTTGAATTTCAAATATTATAATAACCACTAATAATATTACGAACAGAACCTCAATAACACAAAAAACGCAAATCCAATGTATTATTCAGGCAAAGGAAACATAACATAAAAACGACAGACAAAAACACATTAAAATCCATAATACGAATGCCATTAAGTTTATTGTTTGGCAACAAATCGATAAATTAAAATATATATATTGTATAAAAACAATTGTCTTATTTTATGATTATATTTGCAGTACATTTGCATCAGTTATATAAACTGAAAACAGCGAAACTGTTTGAGAAGCCGAAGATCAATAAGAGTGGCGGCGATTCGTCGAGCGGTACGGAGAGTGGTGTCGGTCTACAGGAGTCGGACGACCCGTTCGCCATCGAACAGCTCACGTTCTGCACCGAAAGCCGGTATCTGTGTATCGGCGGCGCCTCCTCTCAAGTGATTGGCTTTCGCTTCAGTAAACACGAGACACACAGCGAAGTGCCGGTGAGGACACCATTTACCACAACTTTTATCATAACACACCCTTTAGTTTTGTATCGACCAGAATATTCTGTACATTTATTGCCATTTTTGCACTTATTTCTCATTTTTCATTTCCATCTCTCACTTGTTTTTTGTTTTTATGGCTTTTATTTTATAGCAAAACCAATACTTCTCTAACCATTTGCTCTGATCCCGGGATTGTTTTTGTTTTTGATTCCTTCAACCAAAAACCTTTTTGAATAGTATTATATTCAATGTCTAGCCTGCGATCAAACAATGCTATCTTCTTCTGCATTGCGTTTGAAATATATTTTGTATTATTATTTGACTTTTTGTGTGTAAATCTATTTCCTTTTTATGACAAAGTATTTTATTTCATAACTCAATGTTTATACAATAAATGCATTCAAACGGCCGCTTATAATGAGATAATAAATATTATTTTTATTGAATACATAAGACATTAATTGAAAAATAATTTTAAAGCGCTTTTGTGTGCAATTGAATAGTTTCACGAAAATATATTAGACTTTGAAAATTGCAATAATAGTGTCTGAAATACATAATAAATTAAAGACTTCTCGTAAAATTAAAAATTTCAAGTATTAGTTTTTATTATTTTTTGTTGTTTTCAGACATTACAATCTCTTTAATGGTAGCATTTTATGTGTAATATTTTGTTATTACAGTATAATTAAACACTTATATTCAAAATGAAGTTTAATTCAATTGCTTAGCTTTAATTGTCTGAGGTGTTAATCATTTGAAAAGTTTGTTCAAAAGAATAGTTTAGTTTTCTCTTTAGTTTTACATATATTTAATGTAATATAATATAAACAAGATTTGAGTTAAATTTTATAATCAATTAAATAGCATTATAATTAAATGGCACTTTCAATGCCCATAATTTAATATTACATAATTATACTTTATATGTGTTGTAATTGATTTGCATTAACGCCGTTCGTAAGAAACCTCTCTGAATATAAAGCGTCAAAATATGGATCTTATTATTAGAAGTGATTAATTATATTATATTTAATATTTTTGAAAATACATTATTTTAATGAATTTATATATTCTATGGCAGTATATATAGCGTATGTATTATAATATTACACAATATAACACAAATATTGAATGGGTTTTATTACAACAGATCTAGTGAATGGGTTAACCCTTATATTCCGGTGCTTTTGCTATACTTTCATACAAAATGTAAATGCCTTTCAGGCAATTCATGTATAAAAGTGTAAAAATTGTACATATTTTTGAACAAATTTTGAATAATTTTTTTTTTCTTTAAATCTAAACATTCAACTAATATTGAGTTTTGAAGTTTGGTTTGTATTGTATTGTATTTTTTGTTTGTTCAAAAAGTCACATATTTTTTATATTATTATATCGATTGCAAAAATCTTCAAATAAAACACTTCTGTATGTGTTCTAGTATTTCAGCCCTTTATGTAATTGATTTTATGCATCCATTCGTAAGATATTTAATTGAAATCATGGAGAACCAAACCCCTGGACTTCAAACCTCAGTCTAATCTCTCTCTCTCTCTCTCTCTCTCTCTCTCTCTCTCTCTCTCNTCTCTCTCTCTCTCTCTCTCTCTCTCTCTCCCTCTCTCCATCTCAATGATGACATATTCTGTTAGTGAGTCTCTTCATAGCTATTTATGACACAAATCGATAACAGAATTGAAAGTGTAATGCATTTAATTCCTGCAAATCATAGCTATTTCTGGAATCAGTGATTAAATTTATATTTATAGATACTTTAGTGTCTAATCTAGTTATGGCTAATATTCAGGGATTGGCATGGTGAAATGTAATTGTAAATAGACAGTACTGTATGAGTTCTAAATATAGCGATTTATAGACAGATTCATATTTGATAGCATTAGTCGTGCTATAACTAAAGTATAACCTCACTATACAAGAGTGGCCCTAGAGTGGCCCCTCCGACGATTAGTGGTTATTAATATTGCTAACAAAATTTAATGTTACAACTAAATAATACATAGCTTTCATTAGCAAACCAATTGCAATAAATACTAAGAAAATCACATCATTTATTGAGAATAATAAATGTTTCAAAACACTTGAAAACATCTGCTTTTTATAATCTTAAAGAAATTAATCAATTATTTAATAAAGAGTTTGATTTGCGCTCTGATTCTTACCAATACATAGGGAGACGACGACTGCTGTCAACACAAAACATATTTAATGAAAATGGATTGAAAAAATTGGATATAATTTATATTAACTCAAAGTTCCTGTCATTTATTAATAGAGAGAGAGAGAGAATGTTAAATAAAATAAACAAAAGTCAATACTAAAATACTATTTAAGATGAATACAACTAATCAATAATCTTTACTATTCTTTATATTTTTATTGTATTTAAGATATTTATATAAAACAGATTGAAATTTTGTAATGAAATTTAGATTCTTTATAATTCTGTCCCAAATTCTATATTTCCAAAACATAAATATAAATGAATCCTTGGTAACTTATAAATTTTAAAATTCAATCATCAATATAAATTTGAATGATTATTCTGTATTAATAATAAGAGGCACATATAAAAGCATAAATCCTAATAAAAATTATTTGATCACAAGAAACATAAATATTAAAATTAGACTTTAAATTAAATTTAAATCGTCTTTTTATGAATCGGAAATATGTGGGAAAATTTCTTTACAAATATATGAAAAGTCTTCTCATTTAAAATCAATTTCTGTCCAAAATTTAAATCGAAAACACAAATTCTTAGTCCAAAGGGAGGAGAGAGAGAGAGAGAGAGAGAGAGAGAGACGTTATGTCTTCACGATTTGTCAAATATTGATGTCGACATTGCCTTAAAAAACTCTTGCGTTGACTTAACGATAAATTTTAACACTAATAATAGATGTGATGACTATATTTTGTGGATAACTATTGGACGACACGCTTACAGGTATGGACGGGAAATATGTCTCAATAAGAAATCATTTTAATAATAAATACGACAAAAAATAACTCGAATATAGAGTGCCTGCAAACTGTCGTTTATGTTGGAGAAAGAGAAAGAGAGAGAGAGAGAGAGAGAGACTTTCTATTTTATTATGATTTGCATAATATGGTAGTAAGTATTGGATGGCAAATAGGCTTACAATAACACAAATATAATAGTTATGTACATTGGATGCAAACTTAAAGGCATTAATATTAATAAAAACGTAAATATTCTGTCTTTTGAATAATGTATAAAATTCATAGAAACGAATTGATTTCAATATTTAGTGCCATTAAAACCATTTTCATATTATATTTCGCATGCATTTTGTGCTGACTTTTAATAATAGTCAGCATTTTGTATGAATATTCTGTGCGACAGACATTGAAATGAAATATGAATTAAACATATTGTCTTATGAGACCATTTGTGCGATAAAATAAGATTTCAATTTATTGTCAAACATTAATATCTAATTTCAACACAACAAACAACAAATTTAAATGCAATTTATTGTTCAATTATTAATCCAATGTAAAAAGTGCTTTACTATACATATCTAAATATATCAGTATATGTTTGAAGACTGGATTTCCCATTCATTGCTCTCAATATTATACTGGTATTCATATTATCAATTTTGTTCACTTAATATACTCGCTGTTTATCTATTGTTATAATCATTCAAATAATATAATACACAGAGATTTAAGTCTATTGTCTTATTGTCTTTGCAGCGATGAGTTGTGCCGACAAAAACAATGAATTACTAAAATCAATGAATATATGTTTGCCATTATATAAAAGTGATAAATGGATTCCTCTATGCATTTGTGTATCGCAAACCTTAACACTAGTTTGCGTTGATATGAGAGTCAATACGTTATTGCAAACCAAATAATGAACACAATTCCCAAAATAGCTATCTATCGCTCCCGACATACAGTGATATCGTTTCTCAACCAATAGGTTATATTGAAATGAGGTTTTTTTGGTTTTATATTTTTCGCCCTTATTATTGTCGATACAATATATCCAATACTTTTCATCTTTATTATGTGTTCAGTCATTCAAATCCTCGATTTAAATAGAATATAAAAACCAAAATATATATTCTTTGGTATATTCTGTGCCAGAATTGAGTTATTTTGTTCGTATCGTTACTGATATTTTTCAGAATAATAAGTAAACTAAACCTATGCCTACTCTGATGTGCCGTACAGTGTTGTACATGATATTAAATTTGTTTATATAACTCTCTCTCTCTCTCTCTCTCTATACCCCTCTCCCCATCGTTCGCAAAAGTTTGTATTATTATTTGACTTTTTGTGTGTAAATCTATTTCCTTTTTATGACAAAGTATTTTATTTCATAACTCAATGTTTATACAATAAATGCATTCAAACGGCCGCTTATAATGAGATAATAAATATTATTTTTATTGAATACATAAGACATTAATTGAAAAATAATTTTAAAGCGCTTTTGTGTGCAATTGAATAGTTTCACGAAAATATATTAGACTTTGAAAATTGCAATAATAGTGTCTGAAAAATATAATAAATTAAGGACTTCTCGTAAAATTAAAATTTTCAAGTATTAGTTTTTATTATTTTTTTTGTTTTCAGATATTATAATCTCTTTAATGGTTGCATTTTATGTGTAATATTTTGTTATTACAGTATAATTAAACACTTATATTCAAAATGAAGTTTAATTCAATTGCTTAGCTTTAATTGTCTGAAGTGTTAATCATTTGAAAAGTTTGTTCAATAGAATAGTTTAGTTTTCTCTTTAGTTTTACATATATTTAATATAATATAATATAAACAAAATTTCAGTTAAATTTTATAATCAATTAAATAGCATTATAATTAAATGGCACTTTCAATGCCCATAATTTAATATCACATAATTATACTCTATATGTGTTGTAATTGATTTGCATTAACGCCGTTCGTAAGAAACCTCTCTGAATATAAAGCGTCAAAATATGGATCTTATTATTAGAAGTGATTAATTATATTATATTTAATATTTTTGAAAATAC